AACTATAGAAAATTAATCTGATGCTCGCTAGTGACCTGCTACAGGATGGAGTTTCCTGGAGTTCTAGTAAGAAGTCGTGACCAGTGAGGTCCACGTGTGTGGATGGATGTCCGACCAACGACTATAGTTGGGATCGCGCTAAGTCACGAATTGGTAGAAGTTAGAATTCATGGACTGGCCATTGAGTAGGCGGGTCCCAGTGTCTGAATGGTATACGTGCTAGCTTGACTTGTAACCGGAAGGACCGGGGTTCGAAGCCTTGTGGTGGGTGCGTACTTCCGATGATTCCCAAACTAGGATGAAACAGCTGGATGTTCAGTATTCCTTGCTGGTTTTCAATGGTCCTCTATCTGATATCAATCCGTGATCAACTCGTGAAAACATAACAAACCCTTACAAAACCAAACTATAGAAGACTTCATTATTATTTGCTCAGGACTGCAATTAACCGTTTCAAATTCATTAGAGTATTTTCTCGCTTTGACACTATTCATTTAACTTCATCGGCATAATTACACTGACAGTTATCCATCTATATTTTCAGCTGCACTTAAAACACTAGACTCTGTCTAATGAATTAATTAGATTAGTTAGATAGATAGTCACGAATGGATGACATCTAGCTGCCCTTGTTTTAATTACGATCAATAACTCAGTCTAACAGTTGACCAATCAAATGTCACCTCTTCGAGATTAGACTGTGTCATGTTGTGCCTTGACAATTACTTTTTTTTAAATACTTACTACATAGGCCTAATCCCATAGATACGTTATTTCTATCCCCTCTGGATACATATAAGCATGAGTCATCGTATCACATTCGTGCATGGTGTCTAATTAGCTAGAGAGACATACTACATTTAGGCTTAATAGCATCACACACATATATTGAAGTGTATCGCGTATTTTGGACTATCTAATTGATGTTCTGATTTGGCCTACTAATCATTCTCTGGACCATAGTGTTTAATTTTACAGGATGAGGTTGCTTGCCTCATTCCCAACCTTTTCTCTTTACTAGCATTATTTCTGCCTTAGTGAGGTAAAGAATTGAGTCGGTGGCCGGGGATCGAACCCCGGACTATGTGCATGGTTGGCGAGCGTTCTAACCGCTATGCCACCGACGCACTGTTGCTCTCATAGTTAGGTTAAACTAATTTCTGTATAGCATCAAAAATAAGATCCGGATTTTCAACTCCAATGTCAAGTCAGTCAGTGATACTCTATACGGATCAGAGACTTGGCCAGCGAGTCATAAAGAACATCTCAAACAAACTACAGACCTTCATTAACAGTTGTCTTCACTCAATACTACTCAAGATCAGATGGCCGGCCAGAAAAGATCAGCAATAGGGATCTCTGGCAATGAGCGAACCAACTCAGCAGGAACCGATCGTGAGACAAATAGGCAGGAAGAAATGGAGATGGATTGGCTGGCCATACCCTAGGGAAACCATCAAGTGACATCACTAGACAAGCCATAGCTCCAGTGGAACCCGAAAGGGAAGCGGGCGGCGAGTTGGTCGTCAGTGTGAGGGTGGGGTGACTTGGAGGAGGTCATGTGAGGAGGAGATGAAAGCATGTGGGCAGACTAGGAGTGGGGTGAAAAGGTTGGCAGAAAACAAAAGGCAATGGAGACTTGGGCGGCTGAAGCCCTATATTCCTCTAGGAATTAAAAGATAAAATAATAATAATTTCTGTATATAAAATCATCGAGATAACTGTAAATCATTGTGACTCTTCACCCATTCATTACTGCTCTGATCTTCTTTTCTAGGTAACTCCAGAAACTTTCGATGGAATTTGTGTGAGCCCCATCGAAGAGCTAAAGGAAATCGTTCGTAGCATTGATTGACCACACTGTGATCAATATAGCTCAGGGATGAAAGCTGGTTACACGTTTTCCCCTTCCAATGAGCAATACCTAAATATTAGATTTTAATTAAATTTACAGTATAATTCGTGTACACCATCTATAATCCCGCCTTTATATACTACGAAGTCATCAGACTGGCTGCTGAAGGTCAATTATTAATCCCTTGTTCGTTAAGCAGTTTTGATTTAGGCTACTATGGGCTTAGGATCACCAGCTAACTCTACTACTACCACTAATATGAAACATCATGTGGGTAAATAATAATCCAGTGATATCTTTATTTTTCTTCATTAGTTTTATTGACTATTTACTTGTCTGGCTTTAATTAATTCAACATTTAGCCAATAACAGTTACTGAGAGAATTATTGACTGAATTATTAATGGATCGATACGTCGCAATTTAACTTAATTTTCGACCTTGACTAGTTTTGGCAGCTGTTTTTGGCTTTTCTTTTTTACCTTTACTCGTCTATGAAGGGTACAACCACCCTGCCACCCACCCACCCACGCGTGTGTCGCTATTGGTTGGCACGATTAACGATGATTTTTAAAAATAATTTATTGTAGGCAATATATTATCATTTTTATCTAAAGGGGGAGAGAGAGAGACGGGGGTGAGAGAAAGAAAGAGAAATACTAACTGGGTTGTCTGATCTGATCAAAATGCTAAATGTGTGAATATCATACTGAAATATTTGGCTAGAGAATGAAAGTGTTTTTAATATATGCTGATGATAGCTGATGGCAGAATTCACGAGGAGCGTTTCAAACCATTCAGGATTTGCGAAATGGATATATCTACTCCTGAGACAGTGGGAGTGGGATTCGAACCCAATGCCGTTGGGCTACAAGAACTATGTGTATCTATAATTTTAGTTGCTCCTGTAGAGAAAGTTGGCTATATAGGCCGAACAACTAGACAGCTTAACAAATGCATTAATGAGCATCTTCCTTCATGGTTCGGAAAAGGTCAAATAAAATCCATACGAAGTTCTATTTAGGCCCTTATTGATTGATAGCGGTCACCAAGTGGACAAAAATAGTGCCGCCTTCAAAATTGTCTACTGTATTCCACCGAGCCTTTCGAACGGAATTCGAACCCGCCTGCTAAACACATAGCCGAAGCTATGGGAATCAATTCGAGAGAATAATCCTAGTCTTTGTATACAACAAAAGAAGTTTGTTCTACCTTTGTCTCTTCCTTGCTTGCCTAGGTGAATTCTATTCAAAATCCTCCCGTCCTTCCTTATTTTCTATCTCCTTCGTATTTTTATGATATTTATTTAAAGTCTGATTATCTGTCCACTTCACCTACCTTTAGTATTACGTAACTTTTAAGATTTGACCTGATTTATTGATTGAACTGTCTACATATACACATATTACTACCTTGGTTATTCTTATCACCACCTGCATAAACCTTATTATCAATATTTTGTTATCATTATTTTTTTTAATTCCTTTACGTTCCCAGTAGAACATAGGGCTTCAAGCTAGAGGCTTGGGGTTTCTGTAGCATTGGTGATTATTTTTATAGGATGAGGTTGCTAGCCTCATGCCCAACCTTTCCTCTTCACCAGCTTTATTTCTGGCTTAGCGAGGTAGAGGAAGGAGTGCGTCGGTGGCCGGGGATCGAACCCCGGTCCTTGTGCATGTTGGTAAGCGTCCTAACCGCTATGCCACCGATGCTTGTTATCATTATAATCATCGTTATTAACTACGTTCAAAACACTCACCACATTATTATTATTATTATTATTATTATTATTATTATAATTATTTGATCCACAAAATCACCGTCATTGGTTAAAAAATTTTCTATATAAATCTATGTAAATTAGAGTAAAGCCTGATGAAGATCTAATTGAAAACAACAATATTGTTCGCTTATATGTCATGTTCTAATCAAAGAACTATCTCTTGGGTTCGATTTTCAATGGGAATATGAACACAGGCAGGGAAGTAGGTACAATCACCTGGCGGGCAACAACAGTAAATAGATACCAAAGCCAAATGATCTTCAACTAACCTATCATATCTCTCACCATCAAAAATGAATGTTTTTCATAATCTTCGTTACAAGTTTCACACTAACCTTAATCATAACCTTATCTTAATCCTACCCTGACTCAGGACGAAACTTGCAACGAAGATTATAAAAAGTAGCCATTTGTCATACTGAGCGATCTGATTGGTTAGTTCAGAGTCATTCTATTGTGGTATTTATTCCTTCCTGTTGCTACCTGAGGAGAATCCCAGATAGAAAGAAATACTCCCTTGGATTTTCCACGAAAACGATCGACTTCAGGTTATTAATTGTGGTGATATAGAGGTGGGCATCCATTCTGGAATCTCGTTTATATTCATAAAGAGGTAAGAGGTGAGAAAATAGACTACTTAGGTCAAGTTAAAACGGCATATTCAAGGTCACAATAACAATGAAGACCACAAAACCAAATAACAGAGGTAATAGTACATCTGCTATGGTATCAAAACAAAATTTATCAAGGAAGGTGGTTTAGTGTGATGACGAATTGTTTTGAACGCATAAAGGTGGTTTAAACTTTCTAACTGACAGCTAGGGCTTCCACAAACTCTAGGATACACCCACCCCCGAACACGTTTTATAGATAGGTTTAAAAGATCTGTTAACGTCAATTTTATGTCCTGTCTCTATAATATGTTTCGCAATAGAAGAGCTAGGTCTCCTGTTCTCACTATCAATGCGTTCTGAAGATTCCATTTGTTTCTGGAGCCATTTAGGAATATGCTCTGAAGCCATCCTTTACTTGCAGAGATCGATGACTCCTCCCTATGTATGTGTGTCCACACGTACATTCAAACTGGTAAATACATTGGGATGTGACATCATTTTTCGCATGTTTGAAGGGCTTAGATAGACATATTGACTTCATATTCTCTATTCTTATGATATTAGCTACATGAAAAGTCTTTTTAACAGCAACGTTCAGTCTTTGTCTAGTTATCAAGCTGCTTTGATGCCCCATTTATATGCCGAAATGAGGCGGATCAATTCGACTCATCATTAATATCAACAGGAAAATTACAGATATGAATCAATTTTTAAAATATACATATATATTTATAATTTCGCTTACTTACCGGTACACGAACACATCGAGATACTAAATCTTCTTCAAGACAACGTTGAAATGCTTGTTGTATACGACGTGGACTTTCTTGTTCTTCAATAAACCATTCATGTTTATGCTTCAGCATACGTTCATCATAAACAAGACCTGTTGATCTGAATTTAAGCAGACAGAAAAAGAATAATTTTAGATTTTCTGTTATGGATCATAGACATGTTCTGTTCATCCACCTCAGAATAAATAGAATAATTACATTACTGTATCATTATTATTGTTCCCTTGGGTTTTGAGTGGAAAATTCGGCTTCAACCTGCACGTCTCTACTTTAACCTCTTCTCTGCGGTCCTCTTTAAGTGAGCTCAGAATTGCCCATAGTCTTTTAACTCCTCCGAGTCACACGATCTCCTTCATGTCATTCTCGGACCCAAGCCCAACTCGTCGTTTGCCATTCGCGGTTCCACTCAAGTACTGACCTTGCGCGGGATTTCATTAGACGGTCTCCTCAGTAGTGTATGCGTAATCCATCTCCATTTTTGCCTACATTTCCGCTGAGCATTATGTTCTTGGTTGATTTGTTTCCAGAAAGAGTTTTTTTTGTTGCTAAGGTGGCAGTTACTGATAAAAGTCTGCAATGGTCTGTTCGAAATGGTTTTCGAGAAGCGTGTCAAGTTTCTAACTGACATCATAGGCCAGTATTTGTCCTCATTCCAGACTGGATGGAACCCAATAGGTGACAATTTCTCACTAGAACTCCAGGTAACTTCATCCTGTAGCCAGTGATTAGCGAGCATCAGATTAATTTTCGAGAGTTAGTTTGAAGGGGTTTGATTTGTCTCAAATTTGACCAAGTCTAAGTCAGATCCCAGTCGCTGAATGGCCTACAAGCTTACCTTGCTATCGGAAGGTCCTGGGTTCAAAACCCACTTGGTGCATACTGATGACGAGTCCTTAACTTGGGTAAAGCAGCTCTCCAATACACCGTGCCGATTCTCAAAGGCTCTCTAACTGATATCAGTCCACAGTTAGACTTGAAACAAATCAAAACCCTCCAAAGTAACTCTTAAAAAGAGATAGATAAGTCGCTGCAATAAAGTTTCTATGTAAATGTAATCAAAGTAATGGCCTTTTATAGGCTACTGTTCAAATTTTACTTGTTTTGAGCCAATTTCTTACTTTCTCTACCGTTGGTTAGTTCTCTTAAGTGCTCTTACATTGAATATTGGGAGTTTAGTTAGTATGATATTATCTGTAAGACTCCAACACGAACCAAAATCAGTTATAGAGATCGTTGGAAATCACGGAGCACTGAACAGCCGTTTCATCCTATTTTCGAGACTCTTCATTAGTGCTCATCCAAGATCCTATCAGGGGTCATAACTGGGACCTTCAGGTTACAGGGTGAGCTCGTTGATCATTCAGACATTTGGGCTGGAATTCGATGACCTGCTAACTCTACCTTTTGTCAGTTCGTGATATAGTGTTACCTTCACCGAGACCTTCGATGAGCATCTCCTTCACCTTGACATGGTGAATCTCATTGATCAATACAGCTTTAGGACATCCATCCACTAGCCATCAACATGCTGGAGGTTGATATTTAGATTATGAGATTTATGGGGATTTGGAGTAATTTAATTTCATTTGTTAGATTACATCACGAACCAACAACAGTCGGAGATATCATTGGAAATCATAGTTTCTTTTCATAAATACGGATGATACTCAACCTCAGGTGACAGACAGATATCGGTGGAAAAGTTTACAAAAAGATGTATGATTTCACACTTTCACTCTAACAGAATTTAGTATCTGTGAAAAAAGGTAACTTTACATAGACTGGTGAGTATCTCCGCCTGTTACGTGGAAGGCCCGGGTTCGATTCCCAGTCGAGGAGCTGGCTTTGTGCGTCGGTGGTACAGTGGTTAGGACTCTCGCCGACTATGCACATGGTCCGAGGTTCTGTCCCCTGCCGACGGACACCTGATATCTATGGTCGGCCTGCGAAATTTGGGCTACCGATATCCATGCTGAAAATTCCATACTTGTATCAAAATTACAGTGTGGAATCAAGCTGTAATCAAAAAAATATCACAAACTAACTAATGTTTCAAGCTTATTCCTTGGTGTTAAGGCTGAATGAATTCGATCAGCAGACAATTTCGCAATATGTAGTCATAAAGCTAAGTGACTCATTATCACAACATTCTGCTTTGAATTGATGTTGAATAATTGAAGGCAGTCATCAGGATTATTTAGTCTTAAGTTTTATGTTTATCGGCACTCATTAACAAGGTGTATCTGCAACCCCCGAATGAAATGATTCATGTTCTTACGTGTTGATCGCGGATTGATATCAGTTAGAGAACCATTGAAAACCAAGGAGTTCTGGACAGCCAGCTGCTTCATCCTAGTTTGGGAATCATCGGAAGTACGCACCCACCACAAAGCTTCAAAATTAGGACCTTCCGACTACAAGTCAAACTAGCTCGTATACCATTCATTCACTGGGACCCGATTCAGTGGCCAATCCATGAATTTTAACTTCTACCAATTCGTGATTTAGCGCCACCCCGAACCAATGTCGTCGGTGGGACATCCATCCTCACACTTGACATCTGGATGTACCTCACTAGTCACGGCTTCTCACTGGTTTTCAATGGTTCTCTAACTGATATCAATCTGTGATCAACACGTAAAAACAGAACTATCCCTTACAAACCAAACTATAGAAGATTCATGTTCTCCCAGTGATCCGAACCCGCTTGACCCAGTGTTTCAGTAAATAAAAAAGAGTTACCACCAAGCTATTCGAAGATATACGAGCGTAACACGAGAATGTATGGTTCAAGGAAGATTATTGAGGTGCTAAAAGTTTCTGAGCCAATAACATTTTAGCGTGTACTACTGACAAGCTATATCAGTAGTACATAGAAAGGCGTTCATCAACACACAAATATCAATTAGCGGAAAGATAGTTTCGATGTCAAAGAAAGCAAATAAGCCAATCACTATTGCATCCGAACATGTGATACATGGAAAGAAGACAAAGACAGACACTATGAAACGTAGAATTAGCACAACACGGAAGATCTGTGCAAATAGTGATTTGAAGATAAGATGTACATAACTTCCAATATATAAAGACAAACATTCTGTTACTAAATCCCTTGTCTTCCAACCATTATATGTGTATCAAAAATTTTGAAAAATATCACCCAAGATGTAAAATAACTGACTGTTAAATATCTAAAGGTGGTTAGTTGGCTGAAATAAACCTCCGTTTATGCTTCATAGTGTGAACAGTTTTAATCACCCCGGCCTCTTTACCAACCAGATCCCATAAGTGAATTAGTACATACGAAGGACGGTCTGTCTGTCTGTTTTCGACATAGTACTTTGCACCGATGTGCGGAAGTTCAAGTCACCTCCCTCCATGTAGCACTCAAAGCAACAGAAGAAAGTAAAAAGAAATGCAAAATAGAGGCAGTAAACAACGGTGTGAGACAAAGGAATGGTAATAACGAAGAAAAATATAATTTCATTGGAAATCATAAGTCATGAGGAGTGGATGCATCTGAGCCAGCCATTGAGAACGATTTCGAGCCATATCACCAATTGTTTCCAACCTCTGGTTTTTTCACCGTCCCAAGGACCCCAACCAGGAAGTCTGCACCTTCCTGCTTGGCTTAAACTAACTGTTGTGGATTTCATTGACTGGTGCCATGTTTTTGTTTGACCTCCGCTAGCTCTTTTCCAGCCTGACCCTATGCCAGTCAGCTAACATTGCCTATTGTCGAGAAAGGCGATCGATGACTAGGCACACGTAACACATGTCCTAACCATCTTAGGTGATGTAATTTCACAGCCTGGTCGATTGATTTCCCCTCCTTATCCAGATCTCGAATGATGGCTAACCTCAATACTGCTCACCTTAATATACCACTTCACACTGGAGATAGAACGCAGGCACCTATGATCAAAGACAGCTAGTTGGCCTTTTCATGTCTTCCACTCTCAATGCCCAGGTTTCACAGCTGGCCATAAAGGAGGACGGAGCGTAGTGACTGATGAACAGTACACATGCCCTTTGGTCGATAGCCAGCCGGATATCACGTCTACTAAGCCAGAGACGGCGTAAACTGGCATATTTGCGAAACTAGCCCTGTGTATCCGTGCTGAGATTTCGTCAGAGATCAACCCGTTGGCACTGGCTTATGGGACTTCCCAAATACGAAGGACGGGGGTGAACTTCAGTCTTCCTCTAGAAACGGTCTCATGTGGCATCCGAGCGATATCCTAGCCCTTGTTGTAAAAACTATGAGATTTTATGTGGTGTATCTCTCGGCGCCCACAGTTTGCCAAACCTGTGATTTAATAATTATAATAATAATCCTTTTCTAACTTAGTCATATTTCAGCAAACAATACATTTCTTAGAAGACGGTAATTAGGTAAGCGTAAATCAAATCCAAAAATACTTTAAAAAAAATCGAAACATTTCTCTGTTTGAAGAGAACTAAGCATTAGAATTAAGATTTAACCAGCAAAGCGGTAAGTAGTGTGATCATACATGATAGCATAACAATAACATGTGACACACAAAAACAAAGGCAAAAAAGAAACGATTCATTATGAGTAGTAACATAACATAACATAAGCTTTATTCCAAATCAGTACTTGTGATACAGAATGGAATTCTCAGCATTTTACTACAATATTGCATCCAGTTTTTACATTAACAATAAATAAAGTTCTACATAGATTAAAGTTATCTCAACAACATATTAGTATGTCGGTAGCAAAGCCAAAATTAAAGTGTTTGAAGGTGTTAGAATTTTTTTAATTTTTTTTAATTTTTGATTTACAGCTTGATTCCACACTGTATTTTTGGTACAAGTATGGAATTTTCACCATGGATATCGGTAGCCCAAATTTCGCAGGCCGACCATAGATATCAGGTGTGCGTCGGCGGGTGCTCAAACCCCGGACCATATGCGTGGTCGGCGAGAGTCCTATCCACTGTGCCACCGACGCACAGATACTACTAGCATATTTACTGGCGTAAGCGATAGCAAAATGGTCGAGATATACAGAGTGTGAAAGAACGAACAAGAATGTTTTAAGTAGAGTTTGCAAGGAAGAGAGAAACAAAACAG